AATAAGCTGTTTTCCACTGCAGGAACTTGTGGGCTGTTTTAGGGCGGCCCGAGCCTTTGCATGTGGTCCGACCACAAGCAAAGGACGAACTGCACCTGTAGAAACTCTTTGAAGGTCGTTTTCAAGGGAGATAAAAGTACTAACTCCAGGGTACATACTTCTGAACAGCCTCAAAAAGCTGACGTGCAGGTTTAAACACTGATTGGCTAAAATCAAAGTGCGATTTATCTATCCCTCTTGATGTCCTTGTCCTTGAGTCTCCTCCTCTACCATCACCATCTTCAACCCATAATTAACAATAAAGGGCAACATAACTATCTTTATTTTTCCCTACATGCTGATAGAACGGTATTGATGTCCAGTACTATTTTGGTCATTATTCTGGTGCACTCTGAGTTAACGTCATGGTAGAAACTGTCGAATACTACACCGTAATGGAAACAGAAAAACTGAAAGGGCTGATTACAGTGCAGTTCCTGTAAACGTTTGCACCACCTCACGCCCTGCTCTGAGTTCCTGCAGTGGGAAAACCGCCCATTGTCTTCTTTGAAAAATGTCTGCATTGATCTGAAATATGAGCCAGGATTGTCTGTAAGTCGTTTGGTGTCCTGTGCTGCATGAAGAAACAGCTTCTGTTGGTGGAGACCAGACATAGAAAGCATTCATACCAATACTGCACATGATCAAAGCCCAGAGGCTCCACCCGTCTCCACCCAGCAGATTTATGCGAGGTGACGTCTCTGAGCGCCACAAAGAAGTTAGTTCTGATTTTATACTGTACATATAAAGGCAAAGGTACTGTCTAAAGTTTTTCCCATAGCTATATGTCAATGTGTGATGGTTTCTTTATCAAAAGAAAGAATTTGAATGTCTCCATCCAACCAATATCTAGAGGGGGCTCCTGTCCCAAAAGTGTTGGATTCATAAACTGAACAATAATCCATGTGGACATAGTTAATTAGGAAGCAGGTTTCCTGTCAGGAGATCTGCCAAATCCTAAATAATTACACTGACGTTGATGTGATATGATTTAGGTACGTAAAACCTCAGTTGTTCACCCTACAGCTATAAATCCGCCCTGGCACAGACTTGCTTTACACAGAAGATGAGACTATTGGAGGGTTCTTCTGAACTACATCTAGACTCCAACACAGAGTTTTTTCCTGCTGACGGTCATGTATGAAGGGAACATTTTTTGTTGTTGTTGTAGAAGCGAACATGCTGCAAGCTGTTATCCCTGGCCTTTAGGTGTCTGCAAATCTTTTGAGTGTTTGTGATAAACAAGAAACTAAATGAAGAACAAACATAACAAATTAGCATCAGTTTCTTTAATCCTTGTGAACACACTGAATGACTGCTGCTGGCGTCATGAGCTGATTTGCTCGTCCGGTCTGATCTTTTTACAGTCCAGATGGCCTCACTGATTTGGCCCTTGTTTAGTTCCAAATTACAATCCTCATTTTCTACTCCTGCTTGAAAAGAGAAAGCTTGTGTGTGACTGCAGCTTTGAGAACAGAGTCTGTGTTTGTATGTGCTTTTACAGTTTGCGAGGAATGTCAGCTTAAACGCCCCTTTTATTTCTTTGCCTTTTATTGCTTTTCACAATCAGCTCAGGCAGTTCTTGTAATTCATAAACTTTCTAATGGGAGATATGTTAATTTTGACCTGACTAAGCTGCAGTCTAATAAATCCAGGAATATTCCTGGAAAGTGAGCAGATTTCTAATGACTTGTCATTACAACTCTTTCAACTCTGTTAAATCCAGAAATTGCCTGAAACCTGGGAACAACTTTATTAAGATAATAAAAAAAAAAAAAAACAGTGGATGCCGATGTGGAAAGAAGCTAAGGGTTGACTATTTGTGGTATGTTAAGTCAGGTGCTCTGGTGGGAGGATTTATTTCTTCCTGAACTCTGTTGTGAGCACATGAGAGGTCACATGTGGTGCAGCCTCGACAGTCTCACAGGCAGGAGACAACATGACGGGAAATCCAGCAAATACTGTGATCAGAGAGCTCAAAGTGACTCTGTCTATAGGGTGAAGCTCATTCATATACGTTCTTTTTCCTCAATTAAACATAATCATTTAATTAACCAAAGTCAAAAAAGAAAAAAGTTTTAAAAAAAACCCCAACAAAACAAATTAAAACCAAAACAGAGAAATAAAAGGAACCCATATACGCTTTACTCTTTAATCCTTTAGTTTTTTCCCATCAAAAAAAAAAAAAAAACACTGCATGTTTTGAAGGATTCAATTTAATAATCCACATTTTTAAAATAACTGAATATATTACATCATTGTTAATATGGTTGCTTAGTAGCTTTCTCATTATTTTGTTAATTATTATGCAATAAAGCATTACAAACATGTGTTTAGCATTTTTGACAAAAAATATGCGTATGACAGGTAGATCTCTAAATTACAATGTTGCTTCACTTTTCCACCCTTATTTTTAGACCTGAGATGTCAAATAGCACAAAGTATCGATGTTAGCGTGTCTCAGGATTTGCTGATTTATTTCTGATGTGTTATTTAAAGGTACTTGATTCTTTAGATTCATATTTGCTGAGAAAACACAGAAAAAATGATCAATAGGAACCCACAAATTGTCAAAACCAATACAAAACAGTTATACTAATTCATGGGACACACAGTCTGAGAGAAAGATTCATTTCCAGAATCATCTTATTCCACCAAATGCATTCATCGTCTCTCCTGACTCAAGCTCTGGATGACGAAGGAGGATCTTTGTCTCAAAAACTGAGCACGGGTGTGTCTGCGTTGCTGCGAGCACAGATTCTCTGAGCTGCAGCAGCCTGAGGTGAACAGCAGGATACAGAGAAATGAGAGAGGAAATAAAAGGATGCTATTGATTAGCCATCCACACACTCATCTTGTGACGTCCACGCACACATAACTGTGAGGTCATATGCCAAGCATGGGCACGGCTTGAGCTTTGCACTCAGTTCTCAGCGGTCTCCATCACGTACAGCATTTTCATTAACTATGCAAAAAGTATTTAATACCGTCTAATAATGCACTTTTTATAGATGCCTGTTACTTTGTGTTCATTTGAATTATTAACATGCACTTTACCCATATTTTTCTGTAAGTCACTTTGCAATTTCCTGAGCTCTTCATTGGAGACATTGCATTTATGATTAAAGAATCAGAGAAAGGTGATTGAGTTCACATGAAGCAAGCTTTGGTGAGAGCATAAAATGTAATACAAATGATAACAATGTCAAAAGGTACGAGTAAAACCAAACAGTTCCGGCAAAGCACAATGAAAGTTAACAAAACTATGTTCCTCCTGATCTTGGTGGGGGTGGTGCCAGTCTGCAGGCTCCCAGTGATGTCAGAGGTGAGAAGAAACTTTATGGTAATTCAGATTCGAGGCCTTCTTAAAGAGAGTGAGGAGACATTCGTTAAGTCTGTGTGGGAGTTTGCGTTTGGGGTTCAGGACTGCAGGGTGAGGATCGGGGCTCAGAGACAAACAAACAACCGACCACAGGATGAGGAGTCTAGTGCTACTTGTTTTGGCTTTTACCTCGGCCACTGCTATAAGTGAGTACCTGAAATTACAGAAGACTTCTTTTTAACATTTGTTTTCCTTTTATTTGAATCATATCCATTGTGTTACAGGTGCATTTTGTTCAACAATAAATGTATTCTTTTATTTAATCTTCTCTAAATAGTCACGTAAGTTAAATTCGTGGATTTTTTATGCATCTTTTTCGTCTTTTTTTGTCAGAGAAACTACAATAAATAGCAATTTTCTGTTGCACCTGCAACTCGTATAAAACATCTAAAAGAAAAAAAGGAAATCTGCAAAGTAATGAAATGAAATGATCTCACCTTAATTATAGATTTTGTCTCTTGTTTAAGAAAACCAAACTGTGGCAGCCGAATAAGTGTCAAAATTATTTGTTTCGATGGAGTCATTTTTCTCTAAGTTATGCTTGCTCTTTGTAACAACCCAGAAGTATATCATTTGAATTACTGCGACTAAAGCAAACCAAAACAAACTTCTGCCTCCTCATCAATTCCAAGTCAGCGTTTCTTGGTTTGGATAACAAATTAAACAGCCATTTCACGCTTGTTTCATGCTAACACACTCCACGCTTTGTTAAAATGAGGGAAGACGGATCAACCTTGACGTTTTAATTTTACGCCACTGAAGTGTTTCTTTTACCAATCTGCATTCACGAGCATTAACTGAATTAATTTCCACTTTGTGGGCTATAATTCAGAAAACCGTCGTTCAAAATGGTATTTTCTTTTCATGCAAGAAGATTTGGAAATCATTAGTCATGTAATAGTGGGGTAATATCCCGCAGTCTTTTTCATATCCGCTCACACACACACATAACTAGCTGGGAAAAAAAAATCCAGTGTCTGGGAGCCTCATTCCTCTCACTGGGATTACTGATGCTGCTGCTCAGCTGATAGTCACATGAAAGGGATTGGGGGGGATTGCAGGTCGTGTGACTCCTGCCGCCACCGCCAGGAACCCTGACACTCCTCACCCCCGACAGCAGCATAAGCACGGGCCTGCTCTCGTTTACATAAGCAACTCTTACATTTTGTTGGTTATTACATTCATTTCATGACTACACTGTCAAAGGTCACACAACTTTAACTCTATATTCCTTCAGCTGTTGCTTCACTCAATGCTTTTATCAGTTATGTATGTTGCTGTGGATTCTTGGAAGATGCTATAGCTTCCCTTCCTGAAGAGTTGTAAAACTTTCTTGCAGGACAAAGAAGTCAGTTCACACGTTACCGATCCTGGAACTCCCGGATGTATCCGGTGTGGAAAGATGGAGACCAGAGATTCAGAAACTGTTGGTCTGGTGAGGCTCGGTCTTCTCCTTCTGGAAACTAAAGTCTGCCCATTCTTTCTGTCAATCTATCTAAATATGTGAAAATGGTGTGTGGTGTATTATTTTCAGGTGGTGAAGTAACTTTTGATCTGAAGAATGACGCCCCCACCCTGACTGGAGCAAGAGCAACCTTCAATATTAATCTAAATTTCCCACCGAACCAGACAGTGCTCTCTGACGGACAGGTGGTCTGGGCGCAAAACTGCACCATCGATGGTAAGATTACTGATAGAAATGGTACACTGGAGGGCTGATACTGCAGTTTACCATGGGGACCTTCTATGGATTGATCAATTTTGTTTTTTGGTTTTTTTAAACAAATGCTCAAAACAAGAAGCAGATACAGAGGACAGTAACACAGAGATGACAGCAAAATCTTTGATGAGCAATGTGCTGTAATCCTAATTTTTTGGTGTATGGTGCCATCCATACAAAAACAAATATTAACTTTTAGACTTTTTAATGTATTTTTTTTAACAGAATCCCCACATAAGAAGTTCGTACCCTTTTTTTAAAAAATATAGGTGAATTATAGATATTTATGAAATATTTTTATATTAATTACCAATTAAACCAAGTCCAATTGATTATAAGCAATAATCCAGTGTATTTTTTTCTTTTCTTTTCTTTGTATTATGATAAAATACAGCTTATTTTCCCTCTAGTTGGTCATGTTAATATGCAGATGCTTATGATTGCCGCCTGTGTGATCGATGCTTGCTGTTGTTTTCAGGACAACAATATCAGCAGGGTCAGGCTGTGTATCCAGACCAGGACCCCAACATGAGTGGAGTTTTCCCTGACGGCACACAGTTCACCAGGAGCCAGAACAGGAAGCCCCGCTATGTGTTTGTGTGGAAGACATGGGGTAAATTACTGTTCTTCTGTTTGAAGCACATGCTGCTTTTCACCAGTATTGTGCGATATATTGTGGTTGTAACACATGAGGTTGATATAGTTCCCAAGTACATTGTAAAAGGAAACTTGCAGGGGAAAAAAAACAAGTCTTCAAAATGCAACAACAACAACTATGTAGCTTTACACAAATCAAATCTTTACACAGAAAAAGAGGAGATCATTAAAAAGCTTTTAAACTCCTATACACATGCGTAAGTCTCTCCTCAGGCCATATCGCTGACAATAAACAGCAAAACCTTCTTATTAAACCAAGTGTCTGTAATCATCTCTCATATTTTAGACTAAAAACATTATTATGTCACACCTTGTAAGAAATGCATGATGGCTTTGATGTCAACATTTACTTTGGTAAAATTATTATTTAAGGTAAGCAGTTTGTTGGTCAGATCATAAGAGCTAATTTGCTTCACAATACAAAACTGTGACCATAGCAGTGCACTAAAACACTCTGAACTTTTTAAGAAATTGCTAAAATTACATCATTTTTTCCAACCAGAATCTGTAAAAACAGAAACAATAATCAGATTTTCAACTTTGTTACAGTCCTTGAACTACTTATCTGTGGCATCTACCGGTAGTTCCATCATATAAACTAGCCAGATCTGAGCTTAAATATTGATATTTTATGAAATTGTGTGCCATGTAAAAATTTGCCGAAAAGCAAGCCATTTGTACAAACCAGATTCTGTAAAAAACACAAAAAATCGGCTTTCCCTGCAGCCATTAGTGACTCAGCTGCAACCAACAGTCATGATCAACAGTCAACAGTCAAATATTTCAGCTAAACTGGAGGCTGTGTTTGCTCAGAGCAGAGAGGAGAGAAGTGTGACGAACAATTTATATGAAAATAAATAGAAGTCGTAAAATATCTAGAGTATGTAGAATCACTATTTTTCCATCAGTATGGGTAAAGCCTTTGGGCATTCAGGAAAATGCTGTTCATGCTGCTTCTAGGTTTTTATTGTTGTTGTTGTTGTTGTTATTATTATTGTTATTGTAGAATTTTTTTCTCTCCTGTTTTTATGGTACTATTTTTATGGCATTTTAACTGTGTCATACTGCATGGATTTGTTGTTTCCATAGACGTGTAGGACAGTGTAAAATGAGCCCACAGTCAGTTAATATGTGATGGGAGCAAAAAACCCCTCAACCAACCAAAAAACTGCACTCCAAATAATCCTAATGTTACTGTATTGAAGGGCGTTACTGGCAGGTGGCAGATGGACCTTCCTCCTCGCTCACCATCGGCACAGACAACGTCCCTCTGGGCTCCTACAACATGGAGGTCGTCATCTATCACTGCCGCGGCCAAGACAAGTTCATCCCCCTTGGATATGCCTCCTCAGTCTTCACCATCACAGGTGATTTCTAAGCTCCAACTTTAGGAAGAAGATTCTACGACATTTGTCTCCCCCATCATAACATCTCTATATTCTATAACAATGTTGTATTCAGCCTTCATTGAGTCAGTCCTAACTTCTGCAGTTATTTGCTGGTACGGGATCCTTATCATCACTAATAAAAATCAACTGAAGAGCATTGTCAAACTTTGCCAAAAAAAAACACTGTCAGTAGCCTGCAGCAGCTCGACAATGTTTATCAAGTAAGAACCATTCAGAGGGCAACGGTCATCTTAGCCAACCCACACCACCCTCTGTATGCTGAGTTTCGACTTTTGCTTTCTGGAAAGAGGTATTCCTTCCCGAAGAGGGCCAAATCAAGAGATACCTCAGATCCTTTGTTCCCTCAGCTGCAGGGTTTAGCTTTAGGCTTGTGTCCTTGCACCGTAGGCTACATACATGGTCATGATCAGTCACCTGATGACATTTATTATTTATGTGTATGTTTCTATGGATTGTACTGTACTGTTTTATGCCTAAATTGGGACAATGAAGACTTTCTAATCTAATGTAATCTTTTTCTTCCATCATCAGACCAGGTTCCCTTCAGCATATCACTTGCCCAAGTCAATGACGTAAACCAAGGCGACCAGAACTTCATCCAGAACCAAGCCATTGCCTTTACCGTCAACCTCCACGATCCCAGCCAGTACCTGAACAACGCAGACATCAGTTTCAGCTGGGACTTTGGTGACACCAGTGGAACTCTGATCTCCAGAGAACGCACCGTCACACACACATACCTGGCAGTTGGCTCCTTCAAACCTCAGGTGGTTCTGATGGCAACCATCCCCAATGGCTGTGGAAACCCCACTGCTGGTGAGATTTTAACTAATTGCTTCTTTTTTAATATCTACATGTATGTCGTTTTGCTCAGCAGCTTGACACTTTTCTTGCAGTTGTTCCCATTGATGCCTCTGCTGTTCCGGCAGTAGTTGTGATGCCCGCCACCCCTGCAGCTGTCCCTGCTGTACCAGCCGAAGGAGGAGATGCTATTGCTCTGGATGTTCCTGCCTCTGATGCCACTCCAGTTGCTGCCTCTGTGCAGCCTGCCGATGCGGCCACAGACACAGAGGATGGAGAAGCAGTCGTGGATCCCAACGCAGAGGCTGTAGAGGTCGCCTCAGTGGCCCCTGCAGTAGATGCAGCTGTGGTTCCAGCAGAACAAGACCCCGCCAACACTGCTGCTCCCGCTGCAGAAGGAGATGTTGCTGCAGAGGAAACAGAAGCTGCAGCAGGAGAAGGAGCTGTTGTTGCCTCCATTGCACCTGCAGCTGAAGAGCCAGCACAAGCTGATATAGATGCTGCAGATGACACAGCAGCAGTGACAGATGTCGCTGCAGAAAACGTGGCTGTGATTGATGCCGCTGCTTCAGTTGCCCCTGTTGTGGAAGGAGAAGAAGTTGCAGTTGAGGTTGCCGACACTGTCACCGTTGCCCCTGTGGCAGATGTAGCTGCAGAGGAAGAAGGCGAGGTGACTGCTGATGCTGATGCTGCTGCTGCTGATGTTGCTGCTGATGTTGCTGCTGCCGATGCTGATGTTGCTGCTGCCGATGCTGGTGTTGATGCTGCTGTTGAAGCTGCCGAAGCCACCGTAGAAGTTGTCCAAGCTGAAACAGAAGCCCCTGCTGATAACATTGTTGCTGCTGCTGCCACTGAACCCACAGCTGTAGAGGAGGCAGCAGCAGCAGTTGATGCTGCAGCTGATACTGAGGCTGAAATAGTGGAAACCGAGAACGAAGTTGCAGCAACTGCAGCTGCTGCAGGTGAACATTTACTGCAACTGTACACAAACTAAAGATGCTGATGGCTCTTGTAACAAAAGGTATTAAGATCAATTTTCTATTGTTCACCGGGTCAACTAGCAGGTGAAGAAGAGGCTGCTCCCGCTGAAGGTGAAGTTCAGGCTGAAGTGGAAGCTGATCCAGCACAGGTTGCCCTCGTCGTGGCTAAAAGACAAGCACCGGAGCTGACGGCTGACTGCACGGTCTATCGTTATGGCTCCCTCGCCACATCTATAGATGTTGTCCGTAAGTCAATACAGTTTCTGTTTTTATGTAAGTTTGTGTGGTTTAATAGAAACAGTTTGGTTTAATTGTGTTCAAATCTCTCTTTCGTCTTCATTCAACTCTGCAGAGGGAATTGAAAGTGTAGAGATTGTCCAGATGTTGAGTGTTGTATCGATGGCGACTGAGGTGGAGCAGAATGCTGTGGACGTCACCATTACCTGTCAGGGAAGGTTAGTAGTGACATTTATCAAATAACTACACAAGCTAGCTTAATAGCAACACAGTTGGAGTTAGTTTGGTTCACTCATTGCCTCTATTCAAACATGTCATAAGTAAAGTAATCAGTCAACATTGTGCAACAGCATTTCTACCATGAAACTGCAGCGTACCGATGACACGGATTCAGACTTCCAAGGTTTCATAAGTAACAAACCTCAGGAACAAATCGGTGCAGTGTTCTGTATCAATATTGTTCTTCAGACTCGATTTCCAGTTCGAACATCAATGGCGAATTACTCCAGTATTACTAATCTTCACTTTGTGACATAGAGCAGTTTTACACTGTTTGAACTGTAGGTGAGCTGGTGTGTTCGAGCTGCAGCGAGTGGGGAAGGTTTGGTTAGACAGAGTGGTGGGAACTTCCTAGATCTGCACATTTTAAAGGAGACAACAGTGAAGAGTTACATTTAAGTCATTTTTAGGCAGGAAGGGATTATTTTCAAGGAAAAACATCTAAATATGTCACTTTGATCCAAAAAGATGAGATTTTAGGGATTAAATCAATGACCAGAGAGGGACTTTAAATCAGCTACATCTAGTAGTCAGTAATCAGAACTGTTTGTCCAAAACTTGAAACACATGCGATCCAAAGTATTGTTGATCTATAAGCAGGCTCTCTTCAATTCTTCAATACTCAAATTACAAATGCAAAAAACACCTGTAGAAAAGCAAGATACAAAAACTGACTGAGACCTTCTGTGCCTGTGATCATTTTGTGTAATCGTCTTAATTAACGTTGCACAGATTTACAAAACCACTGTTATATTATCAACACAAAGGCCACTTTATCATGACGTCCTATGTGTTAACACAGCACAAATTCCAAAATGGTAATAAAGTTAGAAAAAAAAGTGGTCTTGAGACTATTAAACTTTTAGAATTTCATTTAAAATTCTAATATTTAATATAAAATGTGTATTTAATATTATAATCTTCTAGTTGGCTCATAAGAGGATTGGATGTTTAATTTCTTATTGGGTATTACATTTAACAAACATATTTATGAAAGTAACAAATGAAGTTTGATTCTTCTCCTTGTATCAACATCTCTGCATTGTCACTCTCCTTCCTGCAGTTTGCCCAGCGAGGTCTGCACTGTCATATCTGATGCCGACTGTATCACACCACTACAAACCATCTGTAATGCAGCCACACCCTCCCCAGACTGTCAGATGATCCTTCGTCAGTTCTTCAATGACTCTGGAGTTTTCTGCCTCAATGTCTCGCTGACTAATGATGTCAGTCTCGCTGTGGCAAGTGCAAGAGTCAATGTAGCATTAGGTGAGTGCAAGAATTAATTAATAGGCACTGAAATGAATCTGTAAGATTATTTTTTTGATCTCATTTGTACATTGTGATTTCATTGCAGCCTCCGGTGGTTCCCCAGCTGGAACTGCTGCTACAGTTCTGGGTGTTATGGTTCTCGCCTGTGTCGTCTGCTGTGTTGGTTTGATGTACAGGTGAGTAGCCAGTTAATTAGACATGAAGTTAAGGACAAGAACTAAAGCAAAAACAAGAACACCATGAGTGAGGAAAACTAGATCCCGAAAAACACAAATGAAGTTGCAAGCATGAATGCTGCAATTACCGGAAATCATTTTTGGGGGGATTTCATTATATAAAATAGTTATTACTACATATATTCACTAAATATTAATTAGTTTCAGACTGATTCTAGGTTAGTCTTACAGTGACAAAAAATATTGTACTTAATAAAATACCTGCTCAACTGATTAAAATAACTTTTAGAAATTGCACTTAAGCACAGCTTTCCCTACTCTGAGAACAATAATGGTTCGTAAACGATTCCTCAGAAGGCTCTCTGATTCTTTAAAGCGCCATCACTAATTAAAGAACCTTTTTATTTCGCAAATGGTTCTTCATGTACATTATGTGGTCTTTAATAGTACTAAAAGGTTCTTCATTTTTAATGGAGTTTTGGTTTGGTGACAGATAATGGCATAAAATTAGGGTTGGGACTAATCTTTTTTTTTTTTTTTTTTTTTTTTTTAAACGTCATAGATTAATCACCTGGTCTGTTAATCACAAGAAAACTGTGAGAAATCCCCACAACAACTTCCCAAATTTTAAACAGATTTTAAGTGTTAATCTGTCTAATGAACAGTCCAGAACCTGAATTGTTAAATTTATTATCATGGAAAAATGTGAAATGCTGAAAATTCTGAAATTTGACTTTCTGCTTAAAAATTACTTAAACCATTATCAAATCCGCTGATAGTTCCTTAAAGAACCTATTGTTGATAAAGTTCTTTGGTGCACCATTTATGACGTCCTAAGGAAACATTTTTGTTTATTCCTTAAAGCATCTTTAGGGGTTGTTTAAAAAAAACATCTAAACATCCATCCATCCATTATCTATACACCGCTTAATCCTCACGAGGGTCGCGGGGTTGCTGGAGTCTATCCCAGCTGACTTATGGCGAAGGCAGGGGACACCCTGGACGTGTCACCAGTCTATCACAGGGCTACACTTAGAGACAGACAACCAAGCACACTCACATTCACACCTACGGACAATTTAGAATCACCAATTAACCTCAGCATGTTTTTGGACTGTGTGGGAGGAAGCCAGAGAACCCGGAGAGAACCCACGCTACATGGGGAGAACACGCAAACTCCACACAGAAAGATTCCGGTGCCCCCACCAGGATGCGAACTGGCAGCCTTCTTGCTGCGAGGCCACAGTGCTACCAACTGCGGCACCCTGCAGCCCACATCTGAATATATGATTCTTTAAAAAAAAAAGAAAGAAAAAAAACAACTCTCACTAAAAAGTTCTTTGTGAAACTAAAAGTAGTTCCTCAATAGCATCTAGCAAATTTATTTTTCATGGTGTCATATTTTAAAATATCGCCTGCACCTCTGAAATGCCTCTATTACTTTGGTTTCTTGTTGTGAGTTTCCTTTTCTCCCTCAGAAAGTTTGACCTTTAACACCAAATAAAGTCATACAATTTCACAAGGGATACTCTCATCTCCAGGTTATCTCTGTCATTTTGTACTAAGTCAACTCTCCTGTCTCGCTGTGTCACAGGCGGTTCAAGCAATACCAGCCGCTGAGAGAAGACCTTGCAGGAAACAGCAGCTCTGCAGTAACATCAGTGCCTTTGCTGTTGTGGAACCTGCTGAGTCGACAGTCACCTGGGGAAAGTCGTCCACTGCTTCAGGGAAGGATTGTGTGAATATTGTTTCCAGTTTATGCATTTAACATTTGACACATCCGCTAACATACCAGCTTTATACATACAATACTGTCTGTAGTGACACTGCCGCTCCCCGCCATGAAACCAGAACTGATTATATGAACCAGCCTCATGAACAACAGATGCTGCAACTGAGAGTCAGTTGTGTAATAAATGAAGGTGTATTAAAAATGTTGAAACTTTTGTAGAGAAAAGTGATATTTATTTTGACCTATACTATTTTTATTAATTGGCACTGGTAGTTTATAGAAGCCATAACCTTTCATTTGTGGCCTGCTTATATTAAACCAATTGGAAAATCAATGTTATCACATTTCTCTTCAATTTATAATGTAATTTAAATCGAGTTCATCACAGAACATTATCATGTTTGCTACCCTGAAATAAATAAAGTGGAACTTTAACACCCTCTTGTGTCTCTCTGGGATATTTCTGTTCACCCTGAGGTGATATTCACATGATTTTTAGGTCCTCGGAATTTAAAGAACACAGAAACTGGAGCCCATTCTCAATCCAATGACTGCAAACAGCACCATTTAAACATTTCATTTAACTGGAAAGTAAACACAATACGGCAAGAGTCAGTAAATCTAAACAAAACGTACACACTCTGATAAGCCACAACATTAAAAGTAGCTGCTTGATATTGTTCATGTCCACTTCCTGCTGCCAAAGCCGCACTGAAGGAGCCCTGTGGTATCAGAATCAAAGACGTCAGCAGCAAATACTTGAGGTCTTTGAAGTTGTGAGATGAAGCCTCCATGGATTGGACTTTTTCATCACATCCCACAGAAGCTCAATCGGATTGAGATCTGGTGACTTTGGAGGCCAAATCAACACCTTGAATTCTTTGTCATGTTCCTCAAACTATTCTTGAATAATTTTTGCACTGTTGCAGGTAGCTTTTTCCTGCGAAAAGTGTCCGCTGCCATCAGGAAATACTGTCACCACAGTGAGGTTAAGATGGTCTTCAACAAGGCTTATGTAGGTGGTACATGTCAAAGTAACATTCACATGAACGCAAGACTAAATGTTTCTCTTTGAAACATTACCCAGAGCATCATACTGCCTCTGCAGAATTGTCCTTCTCCAATCCCAGCAAACATTGTGCACTGAATCATGGTTTTTCAATTTTCAATATAGATGTCTCTTTATGGTAGAAAAACTGTTTTGAAAGTTGTGCCAACATCCCAGGTATAACCTAAACATCTGTAGGTTGTCCCTCTTGATATTCTGACAAAGGGGAGCTGGTATATTTGATTTCCTTTGTGTGTAATCCATTGTAAAATAAATTTTTAAAAAATAAGTACAATAACAGCCATTCATTCATTATCTATACCTCTTTATCCTGTAGAGGTTCAAAGGGGGCTGCAGCTTATCAAAGCTGACCTAAGGTGAAGGGCAGAGTACACCAGGCTGCCTGTTCATCAACACAGAGAGACAGACCATCATTCACACTGACACTCACACCTACAACCAATTTAGATTAGAATTAGTCTAAATTTGGCTTTGGATTGTAGGAGGAAGCTGGAGCACCAGGTGAAAATTTACACAGGTACAGAGAGAACAACTCCACACAGAAAGACCTTCAGCCTGAGATTTGAACCCAGAACCTTCCACCTGTGAGGCAACAGTGCTAACCACTGCATCACTATACTGCCCAAATACAATAAAATAAAATAAAAACTCTAGCAAAGGAGAGGAAAACACAAATAACAGCAGAAGTGGGGATTATATCCATAGCATTTCTTACACCATGTTCTGGCCTACTGACAAATCCATGTTGGAACAGTAGAGGGAGATTTGTCAATGTCACAGTCCAGAGGCCTGTACAAGTAAGTTTGTCATGTTCCACTAGAAGAGGAGTATAATTTACATATAGATGTACATAAATGGCATAAACATGTTTTATACATTTAAAAAATAGACATCAAGTATTACTAGGCTTTATATGTAGAGTTGGTGTTATGTGGCCATCTCATCACAACCACTTTACAAGAAAATAAATCAGCAATCAAACTTTAAAAAAAAAATATGAATATGATATAAAGTATATAAATATGATCAACATTTCCTGGTTTGTGAGAGAGCGTCCGATTGGACCACTACCGGACATGGAAACAATGTCCTCTCTGCCACATAACCACATTGCAGCTTTAAATGCCCAACTATGACTACTCTTGGCCTGAAACTTGCCTGGTCAGTGAATTCTGACATCTCTTCCCCAAGAAAATGACACACCGGACATCCACATGGTGTAAAAGAAAATGTGATTCATCAGAACAGGCCACCTTCAGTTCAAATGTTCATGTGTCCATTGTAGGTGCTTTCAGTGGTGGACAGTGTTCAGCATGGGCAATTCTGACTCACGTGCAGCCCCAAATCCAACATGCTGTGACACTGTATGTCAGGATGCCTCTCTATCACAGCAGCATTAAGGTTTTCAGCAGTTTGTGCTACAGTAGCTCTTGAGTTAGATGAAACCACATGGGTCAGACTTGACCCCCATGACCACTTCACTGGTTGTCCTTTTTCGTTTCCACTGCATACCAGGAACACCCCAATGGACTGAAGATGCTCTGAGATAGTCGCCTATATCCATCACAGTTTTGGTTCTTGTTAAAGTCTCCCCTTACACTGCCCATTTATTAGGCTTCCAATACATCATGATTTGATAACTGTTCACTTGCGGCCTCATGTATCCCACCACCTGACAGGTGTCACTGTAATGAGGTAATCAATGGTATTAAGACATTACATATGTAGCACATCATTCACCTCAGTGATGTTATTGTTGTGGCTGATCATCATACACATTTTATGATATTAAAAGCAGAATAGCCCATAGTTGCTTTACATTCTGTAGTAATGTCTGACAGTGCTGCTTTAGTGTTGCATTTGTTTTGCTCCATGACATCAATTACAAACGTGGAACAATTTTTTTAGTCCTTACATAAATTGTTTCAATATCTTTATTTCAATTATTATTTTTTTTTTTTTAATTAAAGATTCTTGAAGTAATGTTAAACAATCAATTTTTTTACATGAATCTCATCAGCTTTAACGGCTTTATCACCATAGCTAAAGAAAAGTATAAATAAACAGAACAGCTAGACAGAGTTTAAGTGATTGCACATTTACATTGAGTCAGAATAGTTGAGATGTAGAGTATGTTGTCAAACTACCAACACATAACACCTAAAAATCAGTTCTAAACATAATAAACAGCTGACTACAGCAAAATACAACTTCGTGAAATACTGTATGTACAAGCATATTGTGAACATTTACATACCCATTTAGGAGTAGCAGCAGATGTGGTCAGAAAGAGCAGTGGTTATAAGAACACTGCAGCTGAGTGAACAAAAAAATTATGACCATCACGTACTGTAGTCTGCTCAATTAAAATGATTTACTGTTATGTTGCAGGCTAACTTCATGTATTGAACCGACAAAGCACCGCTGATGCTAACATTCCCATCGTATGACACACTGCAGTACAGGAAAAAAAGGCTGACGTCATTGCAGCAAAGTCTTTAATGGAAGAAGCTATGGCCGACATGGCAAGAACAAAGATGTGGCGTGAAAGATGGAAAGTAAAGGGAAAGATGGATTGCATTGCAAAATCTTTGGCTTGCAAAGTGACATTGATTTTAGTTTTTCAAGGCTGTCGTTTTATTATTTAATTTCTGTTTCTGCTGATTATATTTGTGTTCCTTTGTGATATACAACTGTGTGGTTAAAATGGCATTTGGGCAGCAGATTATTTAAAAAAAACAAGTGCATATTGTTCAGCTCTCTCACTTAAATATATTGGGATGTCAGGAGGACTTTTGTATCAGCATGTATCCTTCATGCATTTGCTGCTTCACAATGTCCTTTGACTGTCTCTCTCTTTCCTTACATGCATTAGATTCCAAATGAAATCCTTCCAACAGACTTGTGTAACACTGCAGTGTTCCATTACAGTAATTACCGAACACAGCCATGAATCATGTTCCACCGTTAACATGTCACATGTAGCCAGAGCTGCTCAGCCTTCTTCATTCATTACTCTGCAGCTAAAGCGACCAACAGCCCTTCTGGGAGGCCATCGTTTTTCACAGATGATCTCTATCTCAGCTTTGACAGGCCTACAGCTTTTAATAGGTCACTGCTCGTCTCTTGTCCCAGTCAAAGCAAACCTCCGCTGCTCTGGGAACTGTCACCTATAGCTCCAATTCAAGCAGCGTTGATGTTTGTCAGATAGCTGGGCTCTTTCTAACTTCTGACTTCACTGTGGGCAGTGAAACTGGAGACGAGTCGGTGAGGTGACACCACCCAGGCAGCCACACAGCTCTGATTAATTTGAATGATTCTTTATTGCTCACCACTCCCTAGCAACAGATCCTAAAAGGGATGTAGTTTCCTTCAGTCGTCCTCAACGCTGCAAAAAACCTTTTTTTACGACTACAGGGATGTAGCAATAAGTTTTGCCGCAGTCTACAATCAGCATATCCAGTCCATTAACCAGCTCACGCCCTCATCTCTTACCAGAACTCATTGTTCTAACGCAAAAAAAAAATGGTTTTTTTTCCAACAATAATACCACATCTATCAAGTCATTCTGTGCCTTTACAACACCTCTTGTGTGTAGAATCTAAACAGTTCCAGCTTTGGATAACTGAGGAGCTACATCTTATAATATTACAACTTTTAGCACTCTCAGCACTCACACCCATTTCACCAGATGTGCAGAGGTTAGAAAGTAAGCAGGGGTGCATCTTGTCAGTTTTTTTCACTGTACAGGAGTTCAAGAGAGATTGTCAAAAAGAATGCAACCATATCCCTATTTATATGAAACTAGTTTGTCTTAAGCAGAACCTTACCAGATTATACTCATTGATTTTACTTTATTTTCCAAAAAATAGTGTCAGTCAGATTTGATTTGCAACATTCAACAACTAATTTAATCTGTCTTAATGAAGAACTTTGTAACTATAAAATTAGATGCATGGATGAAGATGATGGAAGCTTAATGTTTACAGTTTATAGTAAATCTGTAAAATGCAACAAGCACTCTGAGTCATGACAGTAGAAAACTGTCTGAATGTTTAAATAATCAGCTTAAATGCATGCATCAGAATACAGAAACCAGTTTATTTGCAATCACATGCATTTTTCAATAACCTTATTCATACCATAGTTGACATACAAAGATATTGCACAAAACAAAAAAACATTCTCAGCGGTTTGCAGAACCGTCCAGTATAGGTTGGAACACTAATATCTCTCACAATTACCTGAGTTGACTCAAATCAGAAAGTCAGATTTTGTCAGACTGCACATATAACCCTGTTTAAACAGGATCTGAGAATGACATAATTTTATAGCTGTAAATTTTCCTCTAAGCACATTTTTTAATGCAGCAATGCTTTGTGCTGTTTTTACAGCTTGCTGCTGTGTAAAACACAAGTTTGATCAGATTTCTCTTCAGAAACCACACCCAGTGCATGGACTTTATATCCAGGATGAACCCCATCACCTCCATAATGAAATCACAATACAATATGTTTATTCCCTATATTCCCATATGACTGAGACATCTAAAGGCCTGTTTGGATTTGAAACATGACACACACACTGAGTTCAGCTTTTGAAAAAGGCAACAGATATTCAAGTCCGACAGTGCTGAAGAAGAAAAATTGAATTTAAGGCCCCAAAGGGAATTCTCAGAGAACGAGAAGGATCAATTGCTAATGGTAACATCTGGCTGATGGTTAGTATTACTGACACAGTCCGGTCCACAGCTATGGAGCTGTGAGTGTATGTGACATATACACGCTGTTAAGTAGAGTGTGGAAATGCAGATAAGCTCAACATTGATAAGAAACTTTGGCAAAGGCTGTCCTGGCAGGCTGGAGTAGCTTCTGGAAAAATAACAGGAAGAAAGAAAGTGAGATGTGCTCTGTGCAGAGAGAGTGAGACAAAGGGGGAGACAAAGGGGGAGGGAAGGAGAGGGGAGCGCTACTGACCATAAAGCAGGTTGATTAGATTACAGAGCTAAGACTAGCAGGCCATTTGTTATAGAGAGAGAGAGCCAGACCTCAGCAGCAGCAGCAGCACATCTAGAAGGAGCAAAGCCAAGTGCATACATGTGTTTATGAATGACAGTTAGAGAAAAGAGATTACTGCATGTTTACTACAGCGTGCTGCAGATGCTCCATTAGGGAGAGGAAACCCAAAGTTAAATTCAATTAGCAAAATGCTGAGTTTGAATGAAAGCTGTTGACTGATGTGTAACAGTGTGTGAGTTCATGTATTTGAAGAAGAAGAAGCAGATGTGACACAATATTTCATGTTTGGTTGTGAGATATTGGAGAGCATAAATGGATAGAAATGTATTAAAGGTACCAAACATCACTGGGGACACAAAGGGAGGAGAGTGCCACACCCAGTCGACACAGAGCATGCTCGGTATTACGTCAACTTTATGCTGCCTGTCTGCAGACCACAGTTAAAATGACTTAGAGACACACATGCACACACACACAAATTGCAGAAAGATTTGAAGGTGCTGCCTCACCAAAGACCAGAGTGTTCATACTGGTATATGTGAAAAAACATCTGACATTAAACAGAGAATATTGAACCATCTATATATAGAGAAAATTACTCTGAGTCATAGCTCAGTGTTCAGGGGTTGATTTAATTTTTCAAAGTACTACGGTGGGTAATTAGAAGTTTTTAGTCGCTAGACCCCGTGCAGTGTGTTTCTCAGTCCATCACGTCATTTTATTCAGTTTTACTTTAGTTCTGTCTTGTAGTTTGACTCTTAAATCCCTCTGAATGTGTCTATTTATATTGGATGCATAAAAATCTCTGCAGGAGAAATTCTGACACCATATCTAAAGGGGAAAATACAGTTGCAGACATATAATGCTATAAAGGTGGGTATTTTTAGTTTGAACATTAAGCATTAATTGTGCTTAATTGGACATATAGTGCAACAGTGATTCTTAAGTTCCACCAAATAAAACCCCTGTGTCCTCTGAAGCTTGTGATCATTCATTTCTGGGGAGTCACTGAGTTCGTAGATCTGCCATGACAACAGTCACTATCTTCAGCCTACGTCATTTGTCAGTCGTGACTCTACTTGAACTCACCGGGATGTTACCTGCCCTGAAAAACTCACAGTTGACCAGAGACACAAACGGAGTTATCTGACAACTTATACTCAGGGATTACTGGATATAGTGCATTTCGAGGGGATAGAATAACTGCAGAGTCATGGCTCTGTCCCAGACGCCCAGAATATCAATAAAGTATTCCATTACAGTAAAAGGAGAGAGACAGAGAGGAAAGAGGGAGGGAGACAAATGGAAGGGGAAAAGAATCAAATCAATGTGATTCAATTCAGGTTAGAATTTCAGATTTCCTCACTGAGAAGCAGGAAAGAGAAACCTTGACACATTTGAAATTAATGTTAAGCAAGTGTAGGCAAGAGCAAAGTCCTGTATTTATAGGTATAGGAATAACATGGAGGAACAAATACAGCTGACTGAGTAAGCACCGGTGCAAAGTGTCACTGAGGGCATAAACCAGAGAGGGGAGGAGGGCTGGGCGTGAGGAGACATCTTATCAAAGCAGTAATGTGGAGGCCAGTGAAGCATCCAACCGAGTGCTCTGGTTAAAAAGGGTGAAACTGTCGAGACAGAGAGAAAGACAGAGCATTGGTGAAATCACAGCGAGAGGCAGGATCTACCTCTGGAGGGTAGGGAGTGGTCAGAGCTGGTATGCTGATGAGTGATTGAGAGAGGAAGGCTTCATGTGGGTGGGGTGAGGAGAGATGAGGGAGGGGGAGGCGTGATGCTGAGGGGGCACCTCGCCTGAGAGCATAAAAGCCCTCAGCACTCTCCAGTCTGATGTCCTGTTGCTTCACGAGCATCTCGAAGCCTCCAGCTCTCCACTTTCACACGGCGACAGAGAACAGAACCAGAACAACCATGAGCATTTCTTCAATGCATACCTCCACTTACAGGCGTACCTTTGGAAGCCCTCACCCCATCCAAATGTCCACCTACTCCCCCGTGTCCTCTCGCGTCCCCATGGCCGTGTCTGGGGGACGCTACATGCGTTCCATGTCACCTGTGGTGGCCTCCCGCTCCACCACCTACCACCAACAACGCTCCCGCCCCACCCAGCAGCCCCCTCGCCTCTCCTACGACAAGGTGGACTTCACCCTGGCTGAGGCCATCAACCAGGAGTTCCTAACCACCCGCAGCAACGAGAAGGCTGAGCTGCAGGAGCTCAACGACCGCTTCGCCAGCTTCATCGAGAAGGTTCGATACCTGGAGCAGCAGAACGGCGCGCTGCAGCAGGAGCTCAACCAGTTCAAGGGCCAGCAGCAGCACGGCCAGCCCAACCGAGCCTCAGAGCTCTTCCAAGATGAGCTGAGGGAGCTGCGGCGCCAGCTGGATGCTGTCGTCAAAGAGAGGGACCAGTATCAGCTGGAAAGGGATAACCTGGCTGAAGACCTGACACTGATGAAGCAGAGGTTGGTACCAGTTTGAGGTGAAGATCAGATAGATAGATAGATAGATAGATAGATAGATAGAT